CCCCCCAGCAGCAGCAGCAGCAGCAGCAGCAGCAGCAGCAGCAGCAGACCTGAGGGCGGACTGGGCCCCGGGCCCCGGAGTCTTGCTCTTAGTGCCCCCCGTGGCCCGCACGCGCACGTGCACCGCAGTTATGCCCAACTCCTTGCAGCGAGCGGCCACGTCGCCCGCGGCCATCATCGCCGCGTACGGCGAAGACTCGTCGCGGTCGGCCTTGACCTTCATGCCGCCAGTGACGCGCACGAGAGTCTCGCGGCCGGAGAGGTCAGTGACGTGGATGAAGGTGTCGTTGAAGCTGGCGTAGATGTGGGCGACTCCGAAGACGAGTTCGTCTTCGCGGGCCTGGGGGCCGAGGCCCGGCCCTGCTGCTGCTGCTGCTGCTGCTGCTGCTGCTGTTGCTGCAGGGGCTGCGGCGCCCGCGGAAGCCTCCGCTGCAGCGCCCGACTCGCTCTTTTTCCCCGACATCGCAGCAGCAGCGGCACTGGTGCTTCCAAACGCCTCGCCAAGAACGCAGCTCCGCTCGCACGCTCACGGCCCGCTATTCTTAACCTCGCACTGCTTGCAAAGCAAACGCTTTCAAACCACAGAGTGCTCGCCTCTGCTGCTGCTGCTGCTGCCCGCCCTTCACCCGCGCCGCAGCAGCCAGCCCCCCCACAGCCCAGCCCCCACATGCGCTGCGCCGCCCGGCTGCTGCCGCTCCCCGCCGCTCCACCATCGAAGCCCTGCCAGCCTCAAGCGCCCCAGCTCCCCCTCTTCACCGCCAAGTTTTATTAATTTTCCATTTAATTTCAAAAAATACCGCGGGGAAAGCCGCCAGCGCCAGCCGCCGCTGCAGCGCGCTGCGCCAGTGTGTTCAGCAGCAGCTGCTGCTGCACCCACGCCAGCCCGCAACTGCTCGTGCTGCTGCTCCTGCTGCAGCACAATCGACGCTCCTCCATTCCGACCACTAAAATTCACATTAAATCCACCTAACGAATTTAAGGACACAGACTTAAACCGACCTTAAGCCTTCCACTACCAAGCGGCGCAGGCCCTGCGCAAGCAGCTGCAACCCCGCTTGCTGCTACAGCTGCAGCTGTGCAGCTGCTAGTTAGAAGTATATAGTCAACTGCTTCTCTTCGGTGTATTTAGCTAATTCCTGTTAGTCACGCAACTCTCAGAGGATTCGAGGTAGCAGCGTAGCGAGAGCGTCGCTACACCAGAGAGCTGCTGCAGTGTGGCGTGTCCTGTGCTGATGCCGGGCGCTGCTGCTGCTGCTGCTGCCTTCGTTTCCGTCCGCAGCAGTCTTGCTGCGGTACACAGCTTTCTCTGCAGTTGACAGAGTAGTACAGCAGCAGTGATGGCGGCAGCACCAACGAGTGTGGGAGGGCTGCTGCGAGTGGTAGCGTTAAAGGCGGAGGGGCAGCAGGAGCAGCAACTCCGGCGGAAAGAGCAGCAAGGCAGCCTCTGCCGTTAGAGCACAGCATAGCCCGCGGCTGCTCCTCTCGTGTTGCAGCACTTTGAAGGTTTATTAAGGAAGAGGGTGGCAGCGGCAGTGGTGGCAGCGAATGCAGCGAACATGAATTCAAGGGAGATCAAGTAATGAGAGTATCCATTTACAGGAGTAGCCGAAGCTCCAGTTGTGCTCTCCAGCAGCTGTGAGAGCAGCAGCAATGGGTGTGGCTTGCTGCTGCATGCGATAACGTACTATTCCCTTAGGAGCAAGTTTGCCAGCTGCTACGCTGTGGTGGAAACACGAAAAGGCTCATCTTTCCTTCCTGATTAATGCCCGCACCTGTAGTTTCCCGCAAAAGCACCACTGTTTAGAGGTGAATGTGAAATAGTGGCTCTTAGTGCGCTGCAGCTCTCATAGCAGTCTAAAGAAATGCACTCAGTAGAAACTAAAACCGGAAATAGAAAGGCTTTGCGCCCCTGAAATCCTTCAGTTTTGGGAGCTCTGAGTGCTTCAGCTTACACAAAGCACAGCAAAAGGAACTAGGGCCGTTTTCTTTTAGCGTTTCGCAGATCGCCAGCTGTTAGATGGCGGCTGGATTATGCTGGCGGTTTCAGGGCCACAAGTTTCGCTGCAAAGGCACAAGCGTTGCATGCCGGCACTCACAAGTGTAAATTGCCGAAATAGTCCTTGAAATGTGCTCCTAGGACCATTTCGAATTCTGTTTTTGTGCTAAAACGTTTCAGGTGTTTGATGATGTGCTGCGATCTGAGTTTCTTTCCAATGCATTGCCAGTGGGCTTCCCTGACTGTAGCTGGCAACTGCTTCGAACCTTCTTTAAATTTCCCTTCAAAAGCTGATCTGCATGCCTCACAAGTGCAGCTAAGACGTGCGCATCTGGTGCTGGCTGGCTGGGAGAACAAGGCTTTTGGGTTGTAATATTTGGTGAAGACAAAGGTTTCATTTCACACTGCAAGACCCCTGTGCTTCCACCCCCAAATTGTGAAAAGGAGAACAAGAATTAACATTAATATCTTCGGGAGAATCCACAGATTCGCAAAAAGGAGAGACAAACGGAACGCGGAAAAGTGTTTACTTATGTGTCAGTGATCACCCTTTGCCCCGTGAAAATGGCTAGCTATGCCTGAGTGGAAACTTTTGCATGAAGAATGCAATTGGCTTTCCCCGCCTATTTCCAACTGGCGCCCCGTTACCGTGCACTGCGCTTCTATTGAAAAGTATTACTTTTGTTTGTTTTTTTATTTAGGCCTATGGCTGACGCTTTAAATCCCATTGGTAAAGCCCGGAACTTCTTTCAAGAAGCGCCGTCTCGAATTCCTGTTCTGGGGAACAGCCCCAGTAGCCGCCAGCAAAGCCTTAGGCTTCTGACTTCTCGATATACCAATCTTTTAGCATGTCGTTAATAACAAAAGCGAAACTGTCCGCGTAGAAATAAACTTCACTGACATGGGCAAGCCAACTCCGTGGCCACTGGGGGAGAGCTGACAGGCTAAACGAGCTCTCTAAAATCTGGAAGTCCTTGCTGGTTGAGCCCGTCACAGCGCTCAGAGCTACTCAAATATGAATATGATGTATTAAATCCTGAGCACATTTGCCTCTCCCAACAGTGTTCTGTGCAAGTAACGGGGCGGTGCTCTCACCAAACAACCAACTGATGGGCTGACTGATGTGATTAGCTATTTTAAATAATTGAATGAACATACGTCAAAAAGCGCCAAAACAATATTTAGAAACTCCAGGAGACAAAGAGCTGTTCCTTTCAGGGCTTTTCAGCGAGGCTTCCGTGTGGGGCCCAGCCTTGGCGCATGCAGTTAAAGCCACAGCTAGCATTTCCGCTACATGGCAGCAACATTTTATTTGTTGCTGCTGCATATTTGCTGCTGCAACTCCAGGGTTTTAGTGCTGCTGCTCGTGGTCTTGCTGTTGCCGGAGCAGTGTGGAAGGCAGCTGCTGCTGGCGTCGTTGATGCTCTGTTTCGCAGCAGCTCTTCGCAGGAGCGACATAACAATACACTGAATATTATATCTCGTTTGATAGGCCATAAGAGACTCCAAGCCTCTTCATCTGCTGCTGTTTCATCTGCTGCTCGCTGGCCCCCATCTGACGGACCCGTCGTCCGACACAGCAGCAGCCGCAGCAGCAGCAGCAGCGCCCGCGGCAGCAGCAGAAGCTGCCTTCCTCGTGATAGTGGTGGCTGCAGCGGCTTCGGCAGCAGCAGCAGAGACTGCAGCGGGAACATTTAAAGACCGGACGGCTTGGACTTAGCCTTATTTAGGGAAATGGCCAAGGGCTTGCGGTGCAAGACAAAGAGAGCCTTCAGGGCTGTCAAGAGGCAGCATGTCTCAGCAACAGTTGAAGCTGCGCGCATGCAAGCTCTGCAGCAGCGGCTGCACATGGTGCAGCAGGGGCAGGACCCCATGCAGCTCAACAAGAGGCCTTTGAACAAGTTTCTGCATCCCGGTTAGCCATCTTCACTTCCGTATCTTTCTGCGTCTCTCTGCCACTTTTTATTTTATTTTGTGCAATCTTTGATTACTGCCTTTTGGTTCTTCCCTAAGTTGCCACTATTGGCGTATTCTGGCTTTCCCCGTACTTGGCCTGTTTCTGTTGCTTTTGCTGCTGCTGCTGCTGCTGCTGCTGCTGCTGCAGTTCCGCGTTGGCTTCTTGTCTTATCTTGTATCATTTTGCTTCTTTTCATTTGCTGTTGTGCCTTCCACTCGAGCCGGTTGCCACTGCTGCTGCTGCTGCTGCGGTGGCCAGCTGCTAGTAATGAGCTCCTCTGTGTGCCCTCCGATGTCTGTACCGAGTGATATTCGCTGCAGCAGCAGCTTGCCTGAGGAGCAGCAGCAGCAGCTGGCGCTGCTGCTGCTGTTCCATGTCTCTTTTGCGTTGAATGCGGCATGAGGGCCTGTGCAGTGACCCGTGCAGCAGGCGCAGCAGGAAGTGCAGCAGCAGCACCTGTAGCAGGAAGTGCAGCAGCAGCACCTGTAGCTGCCTGCTGCTGCTGCAGCAGCAGCAGCAGCAGCAAAACATTGTCGCTGAAGCCTCGCCTGCGCTGTGTCCCCACAGATGCACCAGATGCCGTCTTCCCCCAAAAGACCCCCGGGCCGCGGCCGCTGGACTTTCGCTCAGAGTCTTTGCCGCTGGCAGGTTTGGTGGGCTGGGGGCAGCGGAAGAAGTTCACGGAAGAAGAAAAAGTTGAACTTGTTTCAATTTTCAATTGTCTTCCTGGAAGGACAGAAGGACCTCAAGTGCAGAAGGCCAGGGAAACGCTCCGACGCATGCACGCCCTGGGGAATACAGACATGCAAGAAGCAGCAGATGACGTCGCCGACGGCAGCGCCGGCGCAGCAGCAGCAGCAGCAGCAGCAGCAGCAGCGGGAGGCGACGCGGAAGGAGATATGGTTGCTGAAGATCCTGCAGCAGAGGTGCTCGCGGACATGAGACGACAGCAAATACCCACTGTCAAAGATTCCCTCAAACAGCATGCAGCCAGAAGGCCCCAAGGGCGCTTCAGAAGCAAACGGAAATAAACAACTGCTGCAGTTGGTGCACTGGGATGCCGAGGGTTCTTTCAGAAAAGACCAAGTGCAACCCCCTCTGCAGCAAGGAGAGCAGCAGCAGCAGCTGCTGCAGCGAGTTGGGGCCGCTTTTTTGGGTGTTCCTTATGTGTATAGGGTGTTTTACGCCCGCAGGGGCTACACCTGATTTTGTCTTGAACTGAAACTGACTGCATAAATGCATCTTCGGGTGCATATGAATGGAAGTTTGCCCATCAAAGTACCATGAAATACAGAATGACACTAAAGTGGAGTAATACAACTTGTAGACACAGCCAGCTTCGTGCGTATTACAGAGTTTCGAAGCAGAAAACCCCTTGTGTGGTGACGGGAAGTGGACCGGTGCAGTCTTATGGCGTCATTTCATGAAAGAAAAGGAGTCTTAGCGCCGTCTGCTTCAAAAAAGTACAGAGTACGACTCAACTACAAATAGGCAATTTTTGGGAATACTTTAGTTTAAAAAAAGTGAGGCGACAGGCCGCCTCACAGCCAAGAGGAAACAACCCGCCAAAAATGTAGCTAAAACGACGTTATCTTCAGATAAAAAGAACACACCAGTTCCCGTCCTTTGCACAAATTGTGTGCCTTTCCTTAAGAAGATCCTATGAGGCGCCCGTCTTCTCTTCTGGAAGCATATATGCTGTATAGTAATCTAAGGACCCCCCCAAGGGTGCCTCCAGTGAGTCGATGGGCAATGCCGCTTCTTGTTGCTGGCAAGAACGGAAAGGCCTTCTTAGTGAGCGCTAAACCTCCTACATACAAGGGGAAATGCCCAGCTTCCTTATCCCGATAGGGCAGAAGCCATGCATTTGCCTAAGGCGCGCACTGGGCATACTGCAGGGGCGCCTGTGCAGCCTATTTCAAATGGTAAACCCTTTTTAAATGTTACGGGAGCAGCAGCGACGGTATGCACGTTGGGAGGACACAAGAAGCTCCGAAGCCCCCAGGGGGCCACAAAATGTCCTCTGCATGCCCTGGTGCTCCACATAGGTGTAGCAGCTGCATGACATCACGCTCCCCGATAGTGCGCATTTGAAATACAAAAAGTCGATCTACGGAAACGCGCAATAAAGGCCTGGCCTGGTGCAGCTTAAACAGTGCGACTTTTCGCAGACAAACGCAAGGGGGCCCTCTGCGGCGATCCTCACAGGAATGTCTTCGAAGGAACTCACCAAAACCTTCCAGTAGCTAGAAAATGGTGGTGCCCTTTAGGTGCCCACAATGAGCGGGGCCCTCTCCTGTGGAGTCTATACAAAGAGCCCTCTGCAGGCACATGCGGTGGGGGCCCCTGTGAGCTAGAAGTTCTCGTGAACATTGAATGGATCCTAACAAAGACAAGCTTGAGGCTCCGTCAAAGGAGTGGAGGCTCCAAGTGGTCCATTGCCTAAGGGTCTCATAGGGGGCACCCGCTACATGCTGAGCTTGCGGGAGTCCCGCTTGCTATCATATGTTGTAGTTGTACCTAAGCCAGACCTTGGCGAGCTCCGAGAGTTTGTGGGGAATTTCTCGGCTGCTCTCGGGGCCCCCAAAGACCTGCAGGCGGGAAGCCCCGCAGAGGAGGCTGCAGTAGCTGCGCTGTATCACTCCGATGGCCGCATGCGAGGCATCCTGAATGGCTTTGGAAAAGTCGCCTTTCGAGTAGTGAATCATTGTGCTGTACAAGTGCAACGTGTAAACATGACCCCCAGCAACCAGGGCCTCCCAAAAGGCTACACCCTCCGGGGCCCTCGCGGGCGACCACAGCAGTTCTGCAGTCACTGCGGGCCGGTCCCAAGCCACTTCTGTGTAGCTCAGTGGGAAGAACACGGTGGGCCCGTAGAGCGACAGAGATGACGGCGGCTCCGCATTGTTTGCAGGCTCGTCCACATGCTGGCCAAAATTCACATAAGGTCCGTAGCCTGTGAGAGCCAACAGCCAAGTCCAGCCCGTGCTCACGCCCTCAGAAATGCCTTGCAAAAGCCTGCCTACGACGCTCCCAACCTGCTGCTGCGGCTTCTGTTCCGGAGCCTTCGCCCCTTTTTGCCGCCGCTGCTGCTGCAGATCCCAAGACTGCCGGAGGTGCTCCTTCAGCGCCTCGGAAGATGGAAGCGGGGCCTTCCCTAAGATGCGAGTCAGTCCTGGCCACGGACTCCCATACACATTATGCTCCTTTTGCGGCCCTTGCTGCTGCTGCTGTTGCTGCTGCTGCAGCTGCGTCACCGACGTGTGGAGACTGGGCGCGAGCCTGCGGGCGTCGAGGTGCGGTAAGCCTTCTTTGGACCACATATCGAGCATTAGCCGCAGCGGCTTTGTGCCGACAGTTCCCCAAGGCAGCAGCAGCATCTTTGCAAAAGGCCTATCTGCATCATAGCTACTGTTGCTGCTGCTGCGCTGCTTATACATCTTTTCTGCCTCGTCGTTCGCTGCTAGCATTTCCCCCAGAGACTTTCCTGCCCGCCCATCCCAACTCCAAATACTTCGATCGGCCCCAAAAAGGATCCCTTTAATTCTTCTCCACAAACTGCTGCTGCTGCTGCCGCTGCTGCCGGAATCCCCCTCGCTGCCCGTGCTTGTGCTGTTGTCATTGTCAAGCAGCAGCGCCACGTTGACTAGCCACTCCCGTAGACGCTCGTGACCGGCTTCGAAGGAAATGACGGCCTGGCAAGGGTCACAAGAGAACCTTGTGAGGCCTTCAGGCCCTTCGCAGGCTACGAAGTTTGAAAGGTGGCGCAGTTCCTGTACAGACACCACATCAGTGTCCATGTAGGTGCCCCCTTCTCTGTACACCACAGCAAGCCGCAGAACGTCGGCCGTCAGAGTCCGCAGCATGTGCTGCAGCACCCTCTGCAGCTGAGCTGCAGGACCCAGCGGCTGCCGCGACAGCACTTCGGCGTGCCGTTCCAGGGGAAGACCTACGCCACAAGTGTCCACATCAGCAGCAAACTGTTTGCCTTAGACACAATCCCCGGCCATGACCGGGAAGGGTTTTGTTGATCTCATGGAATACATGCTTTTAAAGGCAGGCGTTCGCATTTCATAGACGCTCTCATAAGCATGCAAACCGAGCTGATAACTGTGCACATATCAAAGACTGCACTTCCTCACGTTCGGTGACTGTCGTCCCCAGAAACAGCTGCAAAAGAAATTGCAATTTCCTCTCTGCACCCTTTTATCCTTGCCTCACCTTGGAAGTAAGCGTCGAGCCTGTCGTGCTGCACGTACTGCAAGTCGTAGCCGGAGCGCCAGAAGATCTGCATCTGCGCGAAGTGGGTCTCGCGAGCCCTCTCGAGGCACTTTGTGGTTTCGCCGCCACCTGAGTACTGGCTTTTGCTGCTTTCCCCTGGCTCCCCCTCAGAAGCTCCTCCAGGAGGCACTCCCCCGTGCGGGGGCCCCTCTTCTGGGGGGCCCTGCTGGGGGGCCCTGCAGGTGGGAATGACGTGCCACCGGACGAGGGCCCCAGGCATGGCTGCAAAGGCAGAGTCCAGAGCCCACAGCTCTCTCGGAGTCAGTGCATCCGAGCCACTCACGAAGTGCAGCACGCGCCGCCGCAGGAGGCCCCCGTGCAGCAGCAGGGCCGCGTCGACCTCAGGCGTGCCCGTGAGCTTTACGCCTTTGTCCCGAGAAGGCGCAGCAACCCCTTGCGCTGCCAAGTGACCCTCAATTGTGTTGCACCCATTGTAAAGAGAAGGTTCGGAGAAAAGACACAGCTCCGGGGCTTCCGCAGGGCTTTCCTTCGGGCCCTGAGCCGCAGCAGCTGACGCCGCTGCTGCTGTGCCTCTCAAAGGGCCCCCCAAACCCACCCGCGGGGCCTCGGGGGCCCCCTCAGCCCCAGATTCAGCTTTCTGGGCAGACTCCGGTGAGTTGTTCCAAAAGGGAAGCGCGCAGGTGTCAGTACAGCCATTCTCAGGCGAGGCAACAAGAGATGCCAATAGAGCAGTCACTGTGACGCCGTAGCGAGGATCCCTGTAGGTGCAAACAGACACAACTGGCTGCTGCTGCTGCTGTTGCTGCTGCTGCTGCTGTGCCGGCACCTGCTGGTCCTGCTGCTGCTGGGGCCGAACCGCCCAGTCGGGAACCGCGAAGGAAGGGTCCCGAGCGTCTCTTTCCCACGGCGCAGCAGCAATGATATCTGCTGCTGAGGGCACTACTGCTGCTGCGTCCGCGTGCAGCAGACTGTACGGCTCATCTCTTTGCTGCTGCAGCACCTCCTGCTCCACAGGCAGCTCGTACTGCTGCAGGTCCCAGCAGGAGAGTGCCCGGGGGGCCGCTGGAATAGCCGCTAGGCCTCTTATGGAGTCCGACGATATGTGGCTATAGGGCATGGGCTTCTCCGCAGCTGCAGCAGCTGCTGCGGCGGCTGCTTTTTCAGCAGCAAACACAATTTGCATGCGGCTGTTCACCCAAACGAGCCAGCAGCCCCAAGCCAGCAGAGTCACGACAGGAACAGCAGCCAGAAAGACCCAACTCAGCCGCGGGATCATCCGCATGCATCTCAAAAATTTCCTCTCAGGGCAGAGGCCCTGAAAAGGCCACAGACGCTGCTGGATTCCCTGCCCCAAGCCTGTGGGAGAAGCCGCATCTTCTATCAAAGCCGTCTTTTCTTCGAAGTGCGGAGAACTAGGGTGGCGCCTTTGCTTAACAGGATACCGATCAGCATAAGAAAAAGAAACAACAAAGGTTTCATCCGTGGGTGTAGGTGCTGCTGCTGTCGCTCCTGCTGCTGCCGCTGCCGTTGGTGAGGGGGGAGTCTCGATGTGGCCGTTGCTGCCGCAAGTGCTGATGCTGCACCTGCTGCTGCTTGCAGCGTGACCTATAAGGGGCCTGTCTACAGAAATCACTGCGTCGGATTCCGACATCATCGTTTTTCTGTCGCTGCTGCGGCCGCAGTGGCTGCTAACGGCAGTGTGCCCTCTAGTGTTCAGTTGGCGCGCGCAAGCTTACCCAACACTGCAAGACCAGGCAGTCCATCGGGGCCCCCTAATATGTTTCTAGTGCTATTACTGTTGCTTCTACTCCCGCTGTAGCAGGTGGGAGACGAGTTAGGCCAACGCCGCGTAGTATTTTTGGCCTTTCGCGGGCGGCTCCCACCCGCGCCCTGCGGCCTAGGGCCCTAGACCCTATACTCTGAGCTCCGATCACCTAGGCTTCGTCATTGAAAAACACCCCGTGTTGTGGGGCAAATTTAAATCAAAAAAGGAGGCAACAAAACACAGTCAATGCGCGCAGCCGAAGGAGGGGCCCCAGGCCAGTATGAGGCCAAGGATTGCTTACGGTTGAAATAGAACTAGAAGAAATACAATTTAAACTTGACAAATTCATTGAAACGTAACTACAACAAGGCTCATTGAGTGTTGATCTTCCGATCCATATGCCGGCCCGCACAGGCCGCACCGAGGCCGTGGGCTGTGCTGCTTGTGCTACTGTTCTGGTTGCGGACGCTGCTGCATGCAGCACCAGCTTGTCAACAGCTTTTTGGGGAACTCAATTCTTGATCTCTCGAACAAGAGTCCCAAGGGAAAGAGATACAGCAGCATCCGGCTTTGAGCCACTGCTGTTCTAGCTGCGGCAGCAGCGGCGGCGTCGACGGCACTTCTACAACCAGCTGCACAACTTCTCGAGCACTGGCAATGCCTTTTTCTGTTTCACATCACGTATTTTTCGTCTTCTCCATCGTTTTCTGCTCGTAGTGACGCAGCGCCGGTCAGCGTGTACTGTTTGGGGTTTTCGTCCGTTCTCCCATTCTTCTGTCTGTGCTTTGGAAATATGACGGCGCTCTTGAATCTGCATGCAATGCTTGTGGTGTTGCTGCTATCCATTTGCACGTGCACCTTCCTCAGACCTTCTATGCCGCAGCTTATAGACAAAAAAGCTCAGGGTTTTAGGGGCTTCGCAGGTAAACTGGCCGTCATAGGTGACAGACTCAGCCCCTACGTCTCGCTGGCGTGTTTTCTCATGGCGGGCGCGACTTTGCTTTTTAGGGTTTAACTTAAACCTACAGTCGCATTCACAAAGCCCCTAGCATGCAAGAACCGAAGCACCAAGTGCTCATGCACACGGGGCCTCGGCCTGCAGCGAAAGGGTTCTGTTTGCAGCTCCATGCTTCTTCTTCTAACAGCCGCAGAACGAACCAACTGTTCCTTCAGATATGCATCAAGCCCCGCTGCTAGCGGAAGTTCGGCGGCCTTCCCAAGCGCTTCCCTAAGTGCACACTCCACAGACGACGGCTTTCTGCACTGCTCTTTTCAGTGGACAGAACCTGAGGCCTCGTTGCTCCTCTGTACAGAAGCACTGCGAATTACGTTTTAAATGGGGCACTTTTGGGTCCATGGCCGCATCGCGTTTGCAGAATATGCTGTCCACAGGTTAACCTTCGACCCGTGCGGCAGTATTTGCATCAGCGGCCGCAACAGCAGCAGCAAAAACCGTCCAACCAGCACTATTCAGCAGCAGGAGAAGCACCGTGTGTGCTGCAATGCATGAACACATGCAAAGGATCGTGCAGCAATATACGCTGCTCCTCCAGAAGGTGCTTTTCGCATGGAGGAGCTCTTCTAAGAGTTTCTCTTTCCAGTGTAACTACTTTCATCAACAGTGCTTTTCGAAAGTTGTGCAACGCCGTAGGGCTGTTTTAGTACTTCACTGCCCTTGCTACTGAAGACTTTTGTTGTAGCAGCTGTGATCCGCGGCTGAGCAGTAAAAACAGTTGCACTCCGACTGCTCGGCGCCCTCAGGATTGCCACAGGTCTGCCATCCTCTTCTTTACACTGGGGCACGTCATGTACTTGCAAATAAGCGATCACAGCGTCTGTGGCTTGTGGAGTATTTCTAGTTCTTGCTGCGGGATTGCCAGGAATTCACTGCTGCAGAGGCGGCGCTTCCCAGAGTTTCACCAAATATATTGCTTCGGCCGCTAAGATTTTAGCGTTTTGCATATCACCGTGGTGTTCTCTGTCCCCTCGCCGACTCGTTTATCTCTGGTGGCCACAGGACGCTTGTATGCTTCTGTGTTTACCATCCTCTCCCCAGCGGTGATAGCCATTATTCAGTAGTTTGCTTATCTGCACTGCTTCCATTCCATGTCTGCGTCCACTATGTATCCGCTTTAGTATCTTTGTCCGGTTCTATATCGACTGCGCGCTCCCTGCGCTCTTTTACTGTCCGTCGACCTCTTCTTTTTCTGCCGGCTCGTGCCACAGGGAGTACTCTTCATTTTCTCCCGTCGGCGTCTATCTCTCCCGGTTTTTCTGCGGTATCTCTCTTTTGGAGTTTGCCGCATTTTCCTTACTAAGCTCCTCCTGCCCCTTATTGTGTGGGACTGTGTCTGTGCATGTCCTTGCTTTTGTTTGTGTTTCCTGTTTCCGTGCGATACAGAGTAGGGCATCTTCTCGGTCTTCGTGTCTCTTCTGTTTCGTACTCTCTGTCCACTTACTTTTGTCTGCCTGTGCATCAGTCTAGCTGTTTCGTTTCCGCGTTAAGTTTTGTTGTGCCCGTTTCTTGCCGTATTTTTGCCCTTGCTTGTTCTATCTTTTCAGCTCTTTTTGTCACATTCGTGAGCCCATGGTGATATTTCTCACTCCCCACCACTTTCCACCAAGAATCGCCAAACTCTTCGCCGAAGTCTAGTTACAGCGGCGATGCGTTGCTTTAAGTGCAACAAAAACAAATATCAGGGCACTGCAGCAGCAGCTGCAGCTTCAGTTGGTGCGGCTGCAGCGGCAACGTTGTACAGTTTGTGCCGCGAGGTACATAGCGTGCGCTGCGTACCGCTTACAAACGCGGTTCGACTCACGGAATAGACATAAGCTTCAGGGCAGCTGCGGCAGCGGATCTCTACCAAGTTTTTTCCAACTTATCAACATCAGCAGTAGTAGCTGAGATATGCCGACCAAACTCACTAGAAGCCAAAGACCCGTAGTAAATGAACCTGAAACTCAAAAATACGGACAGCGAGCAAGATGCAGGCGTGGTGAATGCTGTTGTTGATCCTAGAAAATAAGCTCGCGCAGGTGCTGTTACTGCTGTTGTGGATGCGACTGTTGTAGACGATACGGCGCTGCCCTTGGGTGATGGCAAATAGCTGTTTGTGACATCTCCACACGGAAGAATAAACGCTGAAAGAGGCTCAGAGGCATGGCCGAACATCGGTCGGATGACAGGATGACAGCTTGGATTATCGCGGCAGCCCTACCGGTTCGGGTCACAATAAAACCAAAGGAGGAAATGGTTGATCCCACAGCGATGCTTTTGGACGCCTCTACGATTGCAAAGGCAACGCCCAAAGCAGAAGGCGTGCGCCTGAAGGGACACAAACCAGAGGCAACAGCAAATATTGGAGTAGCTGCGATGCTTCGTCTTTGTACGTGTTCGTACTCTGCTGCATGCCTTGCCGTCGCTATCTGTTCGGGCCACCAATTTAGACTCTCCGTCTCTTCTTTACCTGGCTTCTAGACTTTGCGTACGTTTTTGTCCCTCTCACCCTCTATATGTTCCTCTCCTGCTTGCCTCGTGTCTCTTGTATGTCCGACCCTGTGTCTCAGCCTCCCAGTGTTTGCTTCTTTTCCTGCCTTTCCTATTGCTGCTCTCACTAATCTTGTGCCTTTCCGTTCGTTAGGCTTGCGAAAGTTTCATTGTGTTCGTTACTTCAATCCTGTGTGATATTTTCTCGCCTATTTTGGCCTCTCTCGGTCACTGCTTCGCTGTATCTCTGTCCCTTTAACTCATATCTGTGTCTCTCACAGTCTGGTGCTTTTCTGTGTCGTCCTCTGCTTCCTCACTATCTCTTTCCCTTTTGGTCTTACAGTCTGTCCTAGGTTCTTACGCGTGTGTGTCTTTGCCCTTTGTCTCTGTGCGCAGCCTTTCTAGTGTGTTCGTCTCTATATCACCTAATCACCTACCGTACTGAATGTGCGATAGCGGCCAGCAGCACGGGGGGCGTGATGGCTTCGGCAGCGCCGAGCAGCAGAGCTGTCGTAATGCCCCATGATTGACAGTTCGCCGCCACCTGCGCTTCGTTGGCGTTGCCGCTGCTTCTCCCCAGGTTCCCAACTCCGAGACCAGAGATTGCCGAAGCTGCACCCGAAATATCACTACGAAGATCTGCAGCTGCTGGCGTGAACAAGGAAGCGACTGCGGCACGGAACATCTGCTGTGGGACCACTGCATTTGGATGTTCCTGCAGCGGCATAGCTGGCTGGTGTTCGTGCAGCTGCAGTTCGTGGTTCTGATGCTGTTGTTGCTGCAACGATATTGTCCCCAAAAAAGCCAAAGACACCAGCAGCGTTGCCCCCAGCAGCAGCGGCAGGCTTCCCCCAAGTCGGTCCACTGCAACAGCCACGAGGGGTAGCAGAAAAACTGTTGTTACTGCAGCAGCAACAGCACACCCCGAACGGAAAAGGTGCAACAACAGGAACACGTATAAACATTTGGACAAGAACTCATACACAAACGCGCCTTCACGGCGAAACAGAAACGTGACTAACAGACGCTGCGGGAGCACTGGCAACCGCCTCAGCCCCAACTGCAACAAACCAAACCACAAGCAACAGCCAGAAGGATGTCACGCCAGCAACAGAGCGGCAACAGCAGCAAGGGAGCCAAACTCACGTGTAACAACTGCTCCCAGGAAGATGGCTTTGAGTGCCGTGGCTTGATAAACCGAAAAGAATATTGAAGAGGCAAAGGCCATGAAGCAATGCAGAGCAGCAAGCAGTAGCGCATGCACTGCAGCTAGAGCCCAAAACTCTCTGCTCAAACCTCTCGTCCAACAAGACAGTCGACGCCATGTTGTCCTCACACCGGAGCAGCAACGGGGGCAGCCGCGTCGGGCGCAACGTCGGCGTGTTGCTGCTCCTGCCGCATT